AGATGCAGAGCCAATCTTAAGAAATGGGGCCACAAAGTGGAGTGTAGAGAAGAGCAAACTACAGACCACCTGCTGCAATGCAACCTGAGCCTTTTGGGCTCTCGCTTGCTGGGGTGTACTCTAAGAAGGTCCTCCACATGCACAGTGGAGGATCTTCTTATAGTAACACCAGAAGCACACCACGTCACCAACTACTGGTCAGATGGCATTTAATCTACTGCCAAACTTGCAAACTTTGCGTTTTGTATATTTGTTTGTTTGTTAAAAATGCAATACAACTGTTTGGTTTGCTCCTGACACGATAAATAAATGAAATAAATAGTGTGATTGCGTGTCTATATACACACCTATAGATATAGATATAGATACATATATATGTGTGTGCGCGCGCGTATGTGTGTGTATACGTATGTATACATATGTATATATTTGTGTATTTCTGTTTTTAGATGTGTATATGTATATTGTGTATATGTGTGTGCTTGTGTATATGCATATACGTGTGTATGTATGTGTAGATGTAGATGTGTGTGTATGTGTATATATGTATGTAAGTGCGCACGTTTATATGTATGTTATTATTACATTTATTATTTTACTCTGCATTGTTATTATTGTTACATTTATTATTTTACTCTATGCATTGCCATTATTACATTTATTAATTTACTCTATGCATTATTATTGTTACATTTATTATTTTACTCTATGCATTGCTATTATTACACTTATTCTTTTACTCTATGCATTATTGTTATTATTACATTTATTCTTTTACTCTATGCATTGCTGTTATTACATTTATTAATTTACTCTATGCATTATGATTGTTACAATTATTCTCTATGCATTGTTATTATTATTACATTTATTCTTTTACTCCCTGCAATATTATTATTATTATTATTATTATTATTATTATTATTATTTCTGTGTGCTTCTGTACATCCATGAGTGTGTGTCTCTATGTATGTTTGCATGTGTATATATATATATGAGTGTATGTGTATATTATATATGGTTTATTTTGGGGGGGTTTAAGTCTGTTCTGCTGGTTTTTTGTGTGTTTTTAGGGGAGATGGACACTCATTGGACTGTTAGGTATATTGTATCAAAAATTCGTGTCAATTCATCCAGTGGTTTTGGAGTTATGTTAATCCCACAAACGAACATTACATTTTTATTTATATAGATTCAATACTCAATTTTTTGGCTTTCCGATTTTTTTCCCCAAGGCGTTACTTCACTTTTTAGAAAAAATGTATTTAGTTGGATTACAATTTGATTGGAAAAAGAGAGACTGAATTTGAAGATGAAACAGAAATAAAAGAAGAATTGAGAGATGGTGAGCAGAGCAAGAAGCAATACTCTGGAGAAAGAGAAGGAGAGAGAAAGGGATAGAGATCGAAATAAAGAAAGGCTAGATCAACACTGCTATACAATCCAGTTTCTGAATCCAAATAGGAGCCCCCGGTGGCGCAGTGGGTTAAACCGCTTTGCCGATAGGACGAATCCGGGGAGAGCGTGGATGAGCTCCCTCTGACAGTTCCAGCTCCCCTTGTGGGAGAAGCCTCCCATAAGGATGGTAAAACATCAAAAAACATCCGGCCGTCCCCAGGGCATGGAGGGAAGGGGGTCTTCACGAGGGAAAGAAGGAGCTGCCCGTTTTACCTCTTCCTTCCAGATCTGCCTCTGAAGAGAATCGATCCCCAAAGCCAGCTTCCCTGCTGCAAATAGGCACACCCTGGGCACCTCCGGCTCCGGCTATGACTGAGAGGCCGACCCAGGCGGGGGTTAAGACACCTGACGAGTGCTCGTCACCCCGTCCCTTCCCGCTGGCAACCCTTTCTCCCACAGGCAACTTTCTCTCCACTCTGGGTTGTTGTAGGTTTTCCGGGTTGTATTATAATAATAATAATAATAATAATAATAATAATAATAATAATAATAATAATAAACCTTTATTTATACCCGCTAACATCTCCCGAAGGCCCAACGCATCAGTAAAATAACAGCACAACAAATACCACAATAAATAAACTCGTAAAACAAAGCAATAAACATTAAAACAAGCAATAAACAGACAAAGAGTTTTTTTCTCCCACCCTGGACATTCCACAGGTATATAAACACCACTTCCCTAGTTTCCGACAGGCCTCACAACCACTGAGGATGCCTGCCATAGATGCAGGTGAAATGTCAGGAGAGAATGCTTCTGGAACATGGCCAGACAGCCCAAAAAACTCCCAACAACCCAGGGATTACAGCCATGAAAGCGGAGACGA